ACTGTTGGGGCTCTAACGATCTATTGTTAGGGCTCCAACGATCTACTCTTAGGGCTCTAACTACATATTGTTAGGGCTCCAACGATCTACTTTTGGGGCTCTAACGATCTATTGTTAGGGATCCAATGATCTACTGTTGGGGCTCTAACGATCTATTGTTAGGGCTCTAATGATCTACTGTTGGGGCTCTAACGATCTACTGTTAGGGCTCTAACAATCTATTGTTAGGGCTCCAACAAACTACTCTTAGGGCTCTAACTACATATTGTTAGGGCTCCAACGATCTACTGTTGGAGCTCTAACGATCTATTGTTAGGGCTCTAACGATCTACTGTTGGGGCTCTAACGATCTACTGTTAGGGCTCTAACTACATATTGTTAGGGCTCTAATAATCTACTGTTAGGGCTCTAACTACATATTGTTAGGGCTCCAATGACCTATTGTTAGGGCTCTAATGATCCATCGTTAGGCTGATGGTCCCCCTTGATCGTGCGAACAGGGAGTTCTGGCTGTCAGCATTGAACTGGTTGATCTACTATGAGAAGGTGCTGTTTATAAGACTGAGTTTGTTGCAGCTCCTCAGACTGAAGAAGTCTTTTGGATGAAAGATTAAACATTTTAACAAAGAACAATCCGTCCAGAGGACCTGACCCAACCTTGTTAGATTGATCTACCTGGATTATTGATCACGCATCAGGACACCTTGTGTTGGGTTTTCATGTTAGAGATAAAATCTGGTTCAGGTTCATGTCAGACTGAAACAACAGGAAATCTTCACCTTCATGTTCGCAGGTGAAGATCTGGGACATCCCGGCCAGCGGGGTCAAACAGAATGTCACCAGGCCCAGGAAGACTCTGATTGGTCACTCCAGGAGGGTGGCCATCATTGAATGGCATCCAACCGCCGAGAACCTGCTGCTTAGCTCCGCCTACGACTACAAGGTCAGACGTCTCATTGGTCAGACACAACGTCCGTCAAACGTCACAAGAAATCACATCAGTGACACATTATGAAAAATGAGTCATGATGAGGAATTTATTTATTTATTTGATTTTTATTTTCAAACTCTCTGTCTCAAAAGCTTCAGAATGACCCGTAATTTGGTCATTTATCACCTGGAAGCAAAATAGTTTTTGATTAACAGAGTGCCGATTTAAAACCTTGATTTTTGTTTTTGGTCTGGAGTGATGTCATTGAGCTTCATGATGAGGGCAAACATTATACGAAAGGATTTCCCAGCAGGGAAAAAAAAGGTCTATTTCAAAGCAAATAAAAATATTTCTGAAGATTTGTTAGAAATGTTTAATTTAAAGATAAATTAGGAAAACCGATGTTTTAGTTACCAGGATTGATAGAGGGTGTTTTTATGGGTTCATTTTTACAACAAAAATCTCATATACTTTAATATATTAGAATACAATGTAATGTGATATAATATAATGTATTGTAATGTAACATAATATAATATAATATGTCATTTTTTGTCTTCATTCTGACTCATTTTGCAGCTCGGGTCACATTTATGTTTTTTATAAAGTGAAACATGGTCAGCGTGTTTTATTAATCTGTTATTAACTCCAAACAGCCGTTCTTTAATCGTTATTTACACCCGACTTCTGACACAAACTTGTATTTTCGTTGGTAAGAAACAAACGAAGTCGAGTGAATTTTAAATTGATGATTCTTTGATTGATTTAATCCTGATTGGTGCTTTGGAACCAAAAGACTTTTTATTTTTGGTCCTTGCTCACATTCAGTCCAGTTTTGAGAATCTAAATTACAAAAGTTTGGATATTTTCAGAAACTTTTTTGCACCTTTTGTCCACAGAAAGTGAGTTTTTGGTAACGAATCATTTACTTTTTTAAAAACACTTTCCAGGAACTCAGGTTTCAGCAGATCCACATGAACTCATCAAAAACACATTTTAAACACGTTTGTGTTTGTTTCACTTTATCCTGATTCTGTTGCCGTCAAAATGTGCGTCCTGAAAATATTAATAGATGAGAGATAATTGTAAATAATAATAATAAATAAATGAAAAGTTAGGGGAAAATATTTAGTCAGAAAAAAGTTATTTTTCCTGTATGTTGTCGCCCTCTAGTGGTGGGTGTGGGGTTTTCAGCATTTTTGTTAGAACATGTGCACAAAAACCAACAAACATAAAATTCTCACTTAAAGAAAGTCCAGACTGGATCTTAGTCCGGATCATCGAGTGGGTCCAGCAGAAATGAGACCAACAGACTTCAGCTGATTTGACGTCAACAAAAAGACAAAAAACTGACACAAAGATGTTGAACGGCTCCACCTGCGTTTCTAAAACTGTGACCAGTTTGGATTCATTTAGGTGAACTCACGCTGCAGATCAGGCCTGAGCTTGTCTCCTGGTCCAGGTCCTCCTCTGGGACGTGTCCCGGCCCGAGGCAGTGATCAGATGTCCGGCCCGGGTGGTGCTGATGCCCGTTCACCACCGGTACCCGTCCGAGGCGCTGCTGCTCTCCGTTAGCTTCAACAGCGACGGCAGCAGGCTGGCCGTCACGTCCAAAGACAGGCGTGTTCGAGTCCTGGACCCGCGGGCCGGGAAGATTCTCCAGGTGCTGTTTTCAGGTGTTTGACTCGTCTGAACGTTCCCTGTGGTAGAACCTGCAGTGATGAAGCTTCACGTCTCTGCAGGTGTCCAACAAAAAGACACACAAGGCCAACAAAGTCTTATACATCACGGGGCTGAAGATGCTTCTGTCCACTGGGAGCTCGTCCTGGAACCACAGACAGATCGTCCTCTGGGACCCCGTGGGACACTTTATTTTTAACTTTTACCAGGACAGACATGTCCTGACAGGACAAAAGTCCACAACGTGTGGAAGTCTGGAACCATGAACCTTTTATTTTTGCTTGTCTGCAGGACGACTTGTCTGAGCCTCTGTTTGAAGAGGACCTGGATGGATCTGCAGGAGTTCTCTTTCCGTTCTACGACCCAGACACACAAATGCTCTACCTGGCTGGAAAGGTAAGAAACATGTTACATGTGTTGCTGCTGGGCCAAAACCTGATACTCCGTAGGCTCATTCATGAGACGGTTCCACAAAACGGACGCACACATCAGTTCGACTGTCTCCTCCGTCTGGACGTTCATAAACCGCAGACGAACTGGACACGTCCCGCTCACACGGGAGCTTTCAGAAATGAAGCGGCCGAGCAGAACCACAGGACGTGGAGCAGAACTCAGCTGGGTTGAAGCGGAGCGCGGTGCATTAAACGTGTCGCACGCGTTTACTAAACTTCACGAGCTGACTCAGTTCAGCGCGCCTGTTCGTGGTTAACCAGTTCCTTTAACCACAAAGCTGCTGCGAGTCGTCATCGATGTTCCCTCAGAAATCTGTTGATGTTTAAAACCACAAGAGCTCGCCGTTCATTTCATCTGTTCATCACATTACTGAGCTGCAGCTCCACATTTATGTTTATTTCTCACACATGGACCTGAGAGGGACGGAGGCGCTTCGAGGTGGGCTGTCTCCGCCCCCCCCCTCACGTCCTCAGGGTGTCTTCTGACCAGAACTCGTCTCAGTCCTGGACTGAGGCGTCTTGTGATTAGTCTTTATCTGCCCGGGTTTTCATGGATGACGATGCAATGAAGAGTAGCAGAAAGAACTTGTGACCACACCGAGTTTATACGTTTTTAAAGGGAAGACACTTGTTTAAATTTCCTGAAAAGGTGTGTGTTCAGACAAGGTCTCTGACCAACATTACTTTCCCCTGCTCTTTATTTGAACATAATGAACCAGTAAAACCAGTTTAACTGTTCTTACATTCAGTTAAATAAAAATGAAATATCATTCTGAACTCGGGTTTAGAAACACGTTTATTCTCACTACATGTCTAATTTTGCACGTCTTCATTCACTAGAACCATTTATCTTTTACAAAGTTAGAAACGTGTGTAAATACGTTCAGACAGCCTGTAAATGTGTCGGTATCTCAACAGTGTGGGCATTAACAGATCTGCTCTGTGCTTTTTGTTTTTAGGGCGACGGGAACATCAGATGCTACGAGCTGAGCCCTGAAAAACCTTACATGAACTTCCTGATGGAGTTCAGGTCTCTGCTGCCCCAGAAAGGCCTCGGTCAGACCAACACACAGAAAAACACATCAATCAAACCAATAATGGTTTAACGGGTGCAAATCAAACCGGGGCTGGTTGTAGATCTAATCCAGCACCTGTAAACCCTGACACCAAAGGGTTTTTGGTTTTTATGAACTGGGAAAGCACCATGCTAATACCTGCGCTAAGTGCTCCTACAACCAACTTAGAAGAAAAATAAAAACAAAAGATCGGTTAAACTAAAGATTATTTAAGTTTGTAGAATGTTTTTGTTTTACCAAATGGGCTTTGATTTGATACCAATAATGTTTCAATCTAAATTTCAGACGAAAAAATTCCCGCTATCGAGCTAACTAGCTAACGAGCTAACGAGCTAACGAGCTAATGAGCTAACTAGCTTTAGAGCTACTTTAAAGCTCTGCAAAACAAAACTAATAACAGAACAGAGTAAGATCAACTTTTGGCTCCATTTCTGTAAAACTGTCTAAGTTTAAATCATTTTGTGTTCTCGCCCTCTGGACATTCTTCCCTCCAAGTTCTTGAAAGAGGTTTTTAATTCTGTGGGTTTCTGTGTTTTAACATTTTTAAACTCCTGCCTTCGTCTAGGAACTGTCCCTGCTGCATTTAAACATGCAGTGTTGGGTAATCTGTCTTCCTCTACTGCCCCTCTCTCTTGTGGTGTGCCACAGGGTTCTATTCTTGGTCCTCTCCTCTTCTCTCTGTACATGCTGCCTCTTGTTTCAGTGATAGCCAGACATCACGTTTCTTTTCACTGCTATGCTGATGATCTACAAATTTATTTACCAACGAAGCCTAAAAACATTAACCTTCTCACACCTTTTACTGATTGTATTGACAACATTAAACAGTGGCTTCACCGTAATTTTCTGTTTTTAAACGAAAGAAAGATGGAGTTCTTCTTCGGTGGTGATGCTCCCTGTAACTTTGATGCTCTGACATCCAAGTTCAGACCCACAGTTAAAAACTTGGGGGTGACGTTTGACAAGGACTTAAAGTTTGATAAACAAACATCCTCTGTAGTCGAGGCCTCTTTTTATCAGTTACGTCTTTTATCCAAAGTTAAGCCTTTTTTAAAATTGCTCTGATTTGGAAAAGGCCATTCATGCTTTTATCACTTCAAGGCTCGACTGTAATTCCCCCTATATGAAGGAATCTCCCAATCCTCCATTAGACGCCTTCAAGTGGTCCAAAATGCTGCGGCTCGACTCTTAGCTAACACCTCCAGATGAGAACACATCACCCTGTTTTATTTTATTTGTAGAACAGACGGAGTTGACTCAACGGTTAAAAGTTTCAATGTAATCTTTGACTTATTGGTTCCTTTTATGACTCTGAGTCACTACCACACTAAATTCCAGGTCACAAACGAGGGTCATGTCACCTGGACAAGTTTTCGTCTTTCATCAGTCTGAGGCCTGCCAACCCAGATCTGTCCCATAAATAGCGCCTCCTGTTGAATTCCAAGAAACCGGCTTCCGTGTAAAAAAGGGACCATCCGTTCAGAACAGTCAACATTTGTAGAAGTGACTGAGTTGTAGCTATTTTGTGTTGGTAGCCATCTTGAATAAACATTAGTTATAGATATCAACCAAAGTTTAGAGTTTCATAATCCGTTCTGTGGTTCCTGAGATATTTTGCTAACAGTACAAATTAAGACATGCAGACGTGGACTTGGGCAAAACCATATCTGCTCTGTCTTTGATCAACAGTAAAAACAAACCCGTCTTCAGGATTAAAAAAAAGTTGTATTCTCATTTTTGTCTTTCAGGGGTGATGCCGAAGCGTGGCCTCAATGTGAGCGCGTGTGAAGTTTTCCGGTTTTATCGTCTGATTACTGTCAAAGACCTGGTGGAACCACTGTCCATGATCGTACCACGAAAAGAGGTTCTGGCAGTGCACCTCGATCCCTCAATATGAAAGTCAAATTTAATCCGGAGCACAACAAATCTAATGTTTTGGTTTGGACTCTCAGTCAGGGATTTTCCAAGCGGACCTGTACCCAATGACAGCCGGGAACCAGCCGGCTCTGATGGCCCAGGAGTGGCTGCAGGGGATCAACAGGGGTCTGTAACTCATCAAAACCCTGAACCAATTACAGCTTATACTTTGTGTTAGAGATCCACCAACCACTGTCTGCTCGTCTCATCATCAGGCCCGGTTCTGATGTCCCTGAAGCCAGAGACTCAAGTGGAAAATCCATACGCCAAAGTCCCTGCAGAGAAGACCCAGTTAAAGGAGCTGGGCTCCGTCAGGTTCCAGATGAGTCCGACCGGTGCGGGGATGAACACAAACCAGGACTTTAGAGAGAAGGAAGGCCGATGTTTCGGGTCAGAGCTCAATGGGGTAAAAAGCTGACGTCTCATCAGACACCTGAACAAATCATCAAGGGAACACAACTCTAAAACTTACTGACAAAAACTGTGAACTCAGAAGTTTTTGAACTTTGTGGTTCCACGAACATTATCCAAAAAATGGTCCAAATGTGTTTTAGATGATTTTAGGGTGAAACAAATTGGATCTAGCAGCTGAAATGAGCTTCCTCTTGGGTGGTGGAGTTTAGCTTTAAAGATCAGGTAAAGAGGTTCATCATCTGGACCAGTGGAGGTGGTTCTGGCATCTGATTAGGATGGATCCTGAGTACCTCCCCCTGGAGATGTTATGGGTATGTTCCACTGGGAAGAGACCAGACCCAGAACTTGCTGAAGGGATGACGTACCCTTTCTTGTCTGGAAACACCTTGAGATCCCCAAGGAGGAGCTGGAGAGTGTTGCCTGGGTGAGGGAGGTCTGGGTTCCTCTTCTGGTCCTACTGTTTCCTCCTGGACCTAACCACAGATAAGCAGCAGAAAATGTTTTTAGGTTTGCAGTCAGAAACAAATCGGTCCAATCCATCCAATCAGTCCTTCCACTGGTGTTGATCTATGTCAGGACTGCCCGTTGTCACCGATTCTATTCACAACTTTTATGGAACAGCCAAGGAGTTGAGGGACCCACAGTCCTGTTGGCCTCATCGAGCTGGGACCTTTGCAGAACATTTGGCAGCTGAGTGTGAAGCAACCTGCAAGAAGATTAGCATCTCCAAGTCTAAGGCCACAGTCCTCAACCAGTAAAGGATGGATTACCAACTCTGAGTTGGGAATTACCTCCTCCCTTAAGGGTAGGAGCTCAAGAAACTCCATTTTTGTTCATAGTTGAGGACAGAACATGCGTGTATCAGTCTTCAATCAATTATCAGTCTGTACTGAAGGACAGTGGGTTGTCTGGTTTGGGAACCTCTGAGTCCCAGCTCTGTTTTTTTGCAGATGTGGTTTTGTTGGTGTTTTCAAGTCATAGCTTTGAGTGTGCAGGACCCGTATGGGCTGAGGATAAAGTGGCCCTGAAGGATCCTTTGGGTCTGTGGTGGTTTTGTGTAATGACACCTCTAGGTTAGAGTTTGATTATTCCGAGCAACATCAGAATAGAATCACTGCTCCTCAGCATTGAAATGAGCCAGTTGAGGTGGTTTGGGCATCTGCAAAGGATGCATTCTGGTTGCCGCCTAAAGGAGGAGTTTCAGAAATGTCTCAACTGGAGGACACTTTGTGGCAGATCCAGAGAGAGGGTTCTTCTCCCACCTTGCAGTAGCTTGATGGTCAGGCCATGAAATCCTCAGGTGTAAGTTTGAACCAAGGTTGCTACAGGAAGGGCTTCTGATGTAGAGCAACGCCAAACTTTCATCCAAGTTCACTGGCTGTTGCAGGAGGGAGCGGTTAAAAGAACAACCTTGGAGTCTCTCTGGACAAACTTGGACGAGGTACTGGAGGGAAGAAGGTCTGAAGTTGTTGTCTACTTTTCTATTTAACTTCCTGTAAGCAAATTATTATTTTGTCTCTTGAATTGTAAATGAACAGTGACAAAAAAAAAAAAAAGAATTTGTAGGAGTAAAACATTTTGGAAGGTCATCTCGATCGAGCTTTACTACTTTTATAAACTTCAGGATGGAGTGAAACTAGTTTTCAGCTGGTTCAAAGTGAGAAGCTTTTCCCTGAAGCTCGTTCTCATTTCGTTGCCTTAAAGGATTTCCTGGAGGAGCAGCTGGCCTATCAAGACGCCAAATATCCCAGAGACCTGATCTGTGATCTGTCAGGGTGGCACCCCGACGAGACGCAGTTCCCACTCTGGACCTACTGCTGCACCCCCCACTGCTGCGAACCCGCAGAGAAACCCCCGCCAACAACCGAGACTGAGGTCAGTCAGAGGCAGTGTTCAGATCCTGACCGTGAGAAAACTGAATAAAGACCGTGAACTTCTGCGTTTCAGCTCCTGAAGGCCTTTTATAGACAACAAGACGAGATCAGAGACCTGAGGGAGGACCTGCTTCAGAAAGACGTGAGTAAAAACGACGAGTGTCCCTACACTGGTTTATTTCAGACCGAGTACAAGCAACAAGAGGCAGCCTGACCAACAGTTCTCCTTGTGTGAATAATAATAATAATTGGGGTCCAAACAAACATTTGTTATATTTGAGGGGGACACGTCCCCCTCACATGTAACTGATGCGACGCCTCTGGTTTACTTGACTTTCAACTCTTTTATCAGTTTTCTTTCTGGTGGTTTCGTTTCTGCAGAGGAGGCTCGCTCAGCTGGAGTTGGAGATAAAGACCAGCAGGAGCAACATGAGGGCGACCGTCTGATTCCACACCGACTCTGACCGCTTCACTTTGCAAACCAGACTCAAAACCAACGTTCGAAAAAGGATCATTTGTAAAGACGTGCACTTTTTGGCCTTAAATACGTAAAACAATCCACGAAGTTCAACCCCCCCCCCCCGGTCATCTGAAGGATAAATCAGAGGTGAACCTTCTGCCAGGGGAATTTATCTTCAGGGTTCTACGGGAATGAAAACCAAGACAAAAACAAACCGGACTTACCTTTGACTGGTTCAAGTGGGGGCTACCAGTTTACTTTAACGTTAAACTGGTGCAGGAGTTTTAACTGCTGCAGCTAAAAGAGAATTAAAACCCGACTAAATAAACTATTTCCTGAATCAAAGCTCATGTCAGAAAGTTTTTTCTGGTACCTGCAAAGTTGAAGCGTCTCCAGTTCTCCCACTAAACCGTTCTAAAAGTTCCAGTTATGATCCCAGCGGTTTCACCTTCTGACCTACAATTAATCTGCTGTAAAGGTTAAAGGTTATCAGCTGGTGCAGTTTATATCCTGATGGTTCTTCCACAGACGGGCGGCTGTGGCCGAGTGGTTGGAGCAGTCGTCCTCCAACGGAGAGTTGGGGGTTCCATTCCACCAGCATGTTGACGTGCCTCTGGGCAAGACACTGAACCCCTCGTTGCCTCCGATGTGTCCCGTCCGTGTCTTAAGACGTTTAGATGGAAAAAAGAATCTGCTGCTAAATGTGAAAAAACAAAGAAAACTGTCAAGAACAACTCGTGAGATCCAGAACGAGCGTTCAGAGTTGAAACCATCTCTGATTCCTCGTGTGTCCATTATTGATCCTTATTGATCAGTAACTCATCTGATGGTTTGAGTGAAAGTCTTAAAATGTGGAGGACCTCCAGTTTGACCTGAAGTCTTTAACAAGCAGCTTGAGAGCAGCCGACCTCGTGTTTAACTTCATGAACTTTCACCAGAACGAGATAAACACCAGATGTTCCCTCGGCATCGTCTTTTGTGCTTTAATCTAAAATTAAACTCCGACCTGCTGCTGGACAAACTACGCGCTCATCACAAGCTTTGACTTGGACAGTTTCATCTGAAGGACCCACAAGACTTCTGGACCAGAACCAGACCAGAGGACAGATGTTTACCCAGAATGCACTGCAGCAGACAGCTCCTCCAGCTGTCAGCACGGTGGTGGAGACTGATGGTTCGGGCTCCTGTCAGTCACTGAGTGGACCAGGAACTCCTCTGCAGACCAAAGGGTTCTGGTGTTCAGCAGTTGAAGCTTGGACCAAACTGGGTCCAACAGAACCGTGAACCCAAACACAGCAGCTGATCTTCAACAGAATGGGTCAGAAATATCAGAACCGAGGTTCTGCAACGGTCCAGAACCTGATCAAAACGCTGTGGTGGACCCTCACAGATGAAAGCTTGGGTGGAGCAGAAGTCCTCCAGAACCACGAGACCGATACAGAAACCCAATGAGAGTTCTGGATCAGAACCTGGAGTTTAGTTTTAATTAATAAATAAAAGGCAAAGCTGACGTAGTAACAGAGTTGAAATGTGACTCCAGTGCTGCGGCTCCATCCTGTGATGAACATCTGGTCCGTTTTAGGATTCAACCACCAACAGATGAATGAACCAGCTCATGGTCA